TTGTTTACATTAAAAAGAGTTTCAAGGCAATTTTCATGTGTGTTTTGTCAGTTTTATGAAATCTCTAGTACATGTTTTCAGATGTAGCAGAGTTTACTACACTTAGTTTTCATTCAGTGATTTAATCATTTTCTTTTAGGCTAGTGCCTTTATTAATCAGGAGTCGGAATTAACCGCTAACTTATCTAGCATATATTTTACACAGTGGATGCCCTTCCAGCTGCAACTCAGCACTGGGAAAAAACCCATACACACATTCAAACACATACATTCATTTTCTTTTCGGTTAGTCCCTTTGTTAATCTGGGGTCACCACAGCGGAATGAACCGCCAACTTATCCAGCATATGTTTTATGCAGCTGATGCCCTTTCAGCTGCAACCTATCACTAGGAAACATCCATGCACACTCATTCACACACATACACTATGGCCACTTTAGTTTCAAGACTTAGATATGCTTAGCAGGTTTGGCATGCTCTCCAGGGAGAGAATCCTGAGCTCATAGATAATTGAGCCCAGGGCTCCCGCCTGGTCAATGAGCATATAAGGGGGTCCGAGATCAGGTAGGTCTCGAAAGCTTCCCCTGGTAAAAGGATTGAAAAGGACAAGATAGGGTGGAAATTATAAACTAAATTGTCTGTAGTGTATACAGTATGTGTGAATGAGAGTGTATGGATGTTCCCCAGTGATGGAAGGGCATCTGTTGCTTAAAACATATGCTGTTATAAATAAGATTTTTTTTTTTCTGTAATAAGTTTATTATCAAATGTAAAAATACAGTATTAGTAAATATATAGCAATGTTGTAGTTATTTTTAAACATTATTAAATAAATAAGGAAATTAGCAATGGAAACTATATTTACCTTCGGCCCACAAGCCTCAATCAAGTTTGTTTTTTTGGCCCTTCTTGGTAAAGTGAAAACAACTGTCTTCATATCTTGTGCAGTATTAAGTCTGTATTTTCATGTGTGGCTCAGTGATGCTCAATGCAGACGATTGTCACTTTCCCACAGTAAAGAAGGCCTGCGTTTGTTTCCATTGCTTCTCAATCTCTCCCAAAGCTCCGTAGCAGAGTAATTAAAATCTCAGCATGGCTGTACTGAACAGGATATGCTGCCATGCCTTCCAACAATGAGGCTCATTCTTTGGACTTCAGGCCAGGTACCTGAAACCCGGCCTGCAACAGCTCCTGATCATTAAAAACATGTTACTGCTCATCTGGAAAGTCAGCTCAGCTCTAGAGAGGAAATTTGACTTTGTATCGGCAGCGAATGAGCCGAGAAACTGGATTTCTAAAGCATGAAGCTCAAGGGAGCTTTTGTGTTGACTTGACAATTTTCTTTTTCGGATCTTGTCAACTCATTTACTCATATGAAGCCAACTCAGTGCGTTGAAGATTAGACAATGGCTCATGTCACAATGGTAGATTGTTATTAAATGCCTCTATAACAGAAAAGAGTTGACTTCATTTTCAACCTGCAGCCTAGTTGTGAAGTGAGAAGTGACCAGAGGGACGCTGGGTGTTCACCTTTGACCTCTGCCACTGGGCTCATAATGACAACTGTGTTTCCTTTTTTCCTGCTGAATTTCAAAGAGCAACTACACCATAGTAAATCTGAAGAGCTGTAAAATAAGACCTGAATGTGTCCAATCTCAAATGTGTTTAGATTGTTCTTGTAACGTGGACATTTAGTAAATGTGTTTGATATCTTTATGATTTAAAGGGCACCTATGGTGAAAAATCTACTTTTCAAGCTGTTTGGACAAACATATGTGTATATATAGTGTATAGACCATCATATTGGGGTGATATAATCACACCCAGTCCTTTTTTTTTTAATTTAACAACATAAAAACGTTGGACCAATTAGAGCGGTTTTCAGACCTACCGCAACTTTACGTAGGAGTGCGGTCCCCCGCCCACCGAATTGATTGACAGCTGCGCGCATTAACATGTTCCGGTAGTCGCGTGTATATGTCAACAAGACCAGGCAGACATACGCAAAGCAACCGGGAATAAAAGGTCTGTTCTGTTCACTAGGATCAGCAATCATCATCAAATGTGATTAAGAGTAAGTTTCACATGTTTAAAGTGTTTTAAAACAGAGCACGTGTGTAATTAATTACAGCGATTTACTTCAGCTTTACTTCATCAGCATAGCCGCGTGTCAGAACAATTATAAAAGAAGACGCTTCAATCTCGGTTTGTGGAAGTTAAATCAGGTTTATTTTGTACATTAGCATAACAGATATCCACACAGCACTGGAGGTTGGCCTGTATCCTGTCACATTTGAGTGCAAAAACAGTGCTAAGCACGCTCTGTCTGTCTGTCTGTGTGCGTGTGTGTGTGTCAGCTGCGGTGTGCGAGTGTATCTCTGTTAGTGTGTGCACGCGTGAACTTTGTAACGATATTGTGTGTGACTCAATGCAACTTCACAATACTGATTAGTAAAGATTAGTTCTTACTGTAGTATTTCTCACAAACGCTACGTGAGACCTTCTTCCTCTAAGTCTGTCTGTTGTCTGACGCAGCCGAGGGAGGAGATTAAAGCACGCGGGAAAGCACGTAGAAACAGTAGGCGGGCAGAACTCGCCTTAAAGGTGCAGTACAACAAAACCAACCCCTGCTGGAAATCAGTATAAAACAGCATCTTGTAAAAGGTATAATGAAAAATCTGATGGGTGTTTTGAGCTGAAACTTTATATACACATTCTAGAGACACAAAAGGCTTATATTAAATCTGAAAAAAGGGGTAACCTAGGTGCCCTTTAAAAAGTATTTAAAACTTTTTACACATCTTTAAATGCAGCGGATGTTTTTCAGATTAAATAACTTAGAGATGCATGTGTGTTAGGCTGGAGGATTGTCTCAAAACAATCTGGACTTATTTTTTTGTGTACACTGTAAAAAATGCTGGGTTCCACACAATTCCTTCATGTGCTCCCAACACAAATCAATTGGCTCTTAAGAGTTTACACTTCACTGATGATTGATTGTGTTTGGCATGGCGACGCAGTCAGTTGGCATTTCTGTGAGGAGTTTGCATGTTCTCCCTGCATTCATGTGGGTTTCCTCCAGGTGCTCTGGTTTCCCCCACAGTCCAAAGACATGTGGTACAGGTGAATTGGGTAGGCTAAATTGTCCCTAGTGTATGAGTGTGAATGAGTGTGTGTGGATGTTTCCCAGAGATGAGTTGCGGCTGGAAGGGCATTCACTGCATAAAACGTGCTGGATAAGTTGGCGTTTTTTTCCGCTGTGGCGACCTCGGATTAATAAAGGGACTAAGCCGAAAAAAGAAAATGAATGAATGTGTTTGGCATGCTGTTCCGGGAGAGACCCTGAGCTCATAAGATCCTCAAGCTCAGGGCTCCCTCTCATTTGTAGGGCAGGAGGGGAGTTTGAGCTTAGGTAGATTTCGAGAACTCCCCTGCTTATTAATGGCTAATGACAAATTAGGGATTGCTATCAAGAGTTATACTGTTGACTAAGGGCTCACCATTAGTGCCAATTTGGTTTGGTCAGTTCACTTATATCGCATGTCTTTGGACGGTGGGAGGAAAACGTGGAACCCTGGGGAAACCCACGTGAGCACGTGGAGAATGTAAACTCTGCACAGAAACGTCGACTGGCCTGGTAAAGAATAGAACCAGAGACATTCTAGCTGTGAGGCAACAGTCCTGTGAGGTCTTTGGCTTACAGAACAACTTATGACTGGTTGATAAAGGATCAGGTAATTTTCTGAAACTATGATGTATTGGGAAATGACAGTAGCTTACAGAAGCAAAGCTACACAATATTGCAAAACTGATAAAATATAAATGGGGTGTTAGAAGTAGGGGTGCTGGGGCTGCTATAGCACCCTGACTTGTATGATTTTGTATGACTACAACCAAAATCATTATGTACGGTAAGGATTTTAATTTGTATTTCAGGCATATACTAAAAAGCAGACACATATAGTGTTTGTTTTTCTCTCCATATTATTAATAATCGGTGTCAAGTAAGCTCAGTTATTGCATGACATAGTGTACATTACAAGTATGAGGTCAGGCTTATGACTATTCTGCGCATACAAATTTTCTTTCAATTAGTTTTAACTTAACATTAACATTTAACTGACCCAAATAGCAAAATGATATAAAATAACACTCCCCCACATATTTAGCTATTATAGCTACTACATCATTAGTATAAGACTGCAGATGGTAATTGGACTAGTTTTACACCATAATGCTGATGCATTTCTTTAGTCATTCAGCAATACTACACCGCTGGGCTGCCATGCCACCTTATCTAGGAAAAGGAGGGAAGAGTAGGGGGGGAAGAAGGGATTCTTCAAGATGAAAATAACTGAGGTAAGAAACTGGATATTCATGACTTAGAAATCATCTGATTGGTGAATGATTTGTTAGCAAATGAGGGACCGGCTGTGGTCAATCATAAGCATGTGATTATCTCTAAATTAGTTTATAAAGAAACTTCACTTGGATTGAACAAATTAGATTGAACAAGTGGATTGAACATTATACAATTAAGTCCTAAAAACAAATTTTTAATAAGTAGTTTGAACAAGCAGCAACCATTATTTTTTGATTGTAGCAAAAACAACGTCCTCTAGTTTTTCGTTGTTTCTGGGCTAAATTGTATTTACTTTTTCTGGAAAGCAAAACACAAGTATGGTTAAGGATTTATTTATTTATTTATTTATTCAATTGTACACCTGAATCTCCTGATTTGTTTAGCCCTGTTAGTGGTTATGAATCCAAAATGAATGACCACAGGCTTGAAAGTCAAAAGGGAAATACATAGGCCAAATTTAGAAGGTTTTATCTTTGCCTCTTTAAGTGGAAAAAACAACAGTGTGTATATCAGGGTTGAGTGGAAAATGAAACAAAACAGAAATATCTGAGCAGCCTCATTTGACGAGAACATTCACAAGCTTATTTGATTTTCATGTTGTGTTGAGCTTAGCAAAAATCACTTATTAAAACACTTCTTTTTTTAGTATAACATTTTTATTATCAGTAAACAAAACACGCTCTGATTTTCAGTTCAGTACATTACGACACATATGAGAGACCACAGAAGTGTTACAGGTGTACTCCAAAGGTGTGATTTTAAAAAGATTTCCAAAAGTATGTACATGAGAATATACAGGGATATTACAAAAGAACGTGTAGAAAAAATATCTACATTTATTATAAGCCTTGGCACACGATGGCATGCAGCATCCACAGTTTTGTAAGTATAAAAAAATTCATGCAACCCTATTACAAACTGAATTTCTTTGTCATGGGTAAAATGACAGTAAAAACAGATGAAAGACTTATTATGTTATCAATCTGAGCTGAGGAGAACTGACTTTACATCAGCACATTCAGAGACATTAAAGGGATTTGCTCTTTTCAGCTCAGGCTGTCCAAGTTGCAGGTGACATATTTTTCTTCAGTAGTATAGTAGAGGAAGATTTTTAGCTTAACCCTACTGTTGTCTCAGAATTCTGGATTGATGTTTTCGCGATTGTTTTAGAACTTCCAATTCAGTTGCCTATGGAAGAAATGATTAAGAACAATAAACCACAGCAAACAGTCAAACTACTCGCTATACAAACAAGTGTTTGCTTGACTATACAGACAAAGCAGAATAATATTATTCTGAAATTGCCAGTTTGTAACATCAAGCAGCACAATGAGCTGTTTTTAACATCTAAACATGAATGGAAGTGAATGAGACCGGAATGAAATTCAAATGGCTGTGCTCAAATGCCGAAAAATACAGTAAATACACATTGGGGTCAAAAATGCTAATGCTAATGACAACATTTTATTTTAATCCTCAAATCTATTTTGCATTAAAAATAAATAACAAACTCTTTGTGCGTCTAGGTTTCCCCCATCAGTGTGCAGTGTTTAGCATGTAATCTATGGAGACGGAGAGAGTGTAACATGCTGCAATTTAAGAAAACACATGCAATTACAAAAAACACCAGCAAATTAAGAAAAGATTATACACATACTGCAAATCCTCACAGTGCAAACACATTTTTGAAAAGTGCACTGCATTTTCACACAACACAAAAACATTGGAACACAATGAAAATGTTTCAAGGGGACCCAAAAACGTGACGGACACAGCTGTGCCATATGGCTGCGTCCAAAACTGCATACTTCCATTTTATACAGTGCACTAAAATCAGTATGGGAGCCGAGTAGTATGTCCGAATTCATAGAATTCGAAAATCAGTATGCGAGAAGTACCCTGATGACCTACTACTTCCGGCGAGATATTGAAGTGCGCATCCCATGCGCGCTGCGCCAGCCCATGATACCCCGCAAGAGAATTCATGAATGGAAGTGAAGCGACGCAACTGATGCAGGTAGGACATGTGACCATGACAAATGGCGGATGTAATAAGTCCGAATTCCATTCATACTGCTCCCATTCATACAGTATAGAACGTACATTTCCAACGGCCGAGTAGTACATTTCAATTCAAATGCAGTACCTACTGAGTACTAGGCAGTTTCGGATACAGCCTATTGCTCAGTGAAGGTGTCACATTTTAGGGTCCTCCTTAAAACATTTCTGTTGTGTTGTAAAAAAGGTAGCGTGTTTTTGGTTGATTGGTTGTGTTGTGAGAAAATGTGTTTTTTTAAAAATGTGTTTGCGCTGTGAGGATTTGCAGCACGTGTGTTGTCAAATGGATGAAGATCTTTTCTTAATTTGTTGCCGTTTTTTGTAATTGCATGTGTTTTGTTAAATTGCAGCACGTTACGCTCTCTCGGCCACCGTAGTAGTCAATGTTTAATCAGTGGTTGTTTTTAACTACAGCATATAAACTAAAGCTAAAGGTACCTGCATAAGTGTAAAAAGTTTTAAGCAAAGAGAGTATTCATAAAAGTTAAAGCAGCAGATTCTTATTGTGTGTGTGCGTGTGTTTGTGGGAGGGAATGTGGTGTTTTAAAGTGTGCATGTGTGTGCTAGTAGTTTTTGTGGTGTTAAAACGATTTTATAGCAGTTGAGTCAAATTTGACTTGGACAACTCTGTTTATCCTTTATGAAAATATCAAAACAGAAAATTATTAGTTTTTTTTATTTGCGTAATTTTAGAAAGAAAAATCACCAAATTTCAAGATGAATAAACTGTATAGGTTTTTTATCTGCTATTAAAAGAGAGGACATTTTTGACCCATAAGTGAAGAGGAGGGTTAAACCATGATCTTTGCTCTTTCATAAAATGGAGGTCAATAGCGACCAGAATTTTGAGAATAAAAGACACATCCAGCCAAAACAAAATGAATACTTGTGGCTCCTGATGACAGTGAGGTTGTGTGAAGTGAAACAATTGTTCTGCGTTCTGTTTGTGCATGAAATTGAACATTACCAACAAATTGTATTGTCAATTGTCATTATAATTAATCTACAGATGATAGCTATTGGCAGATTTTACCAAAAGATCAAAACTTCAGTTTAAAAATCATCTTTTATTTTCTACCGAAGAAAAAAGCCACCTAATGTACATCTTAGATGGCCTGATGAACAGCACATTCTGGGTGAACTATCCCTTTAAACTTCTACTCAGGTTAAAGGAGATTTGTACGGAACTAAACTGGCACTAACTGGTCCACAGTCACCTGAGTAAATGTTTCGAGCCCTTTAGCGATCACCATTCCCTTCAGACTGTACTGAAGTGAACAAACCAATGTGAACGTTACAATACTTTTCACAACTCGACAAAAGACAGGAGAAACAGGAAACAGCTTCATTTACAGCCGGGCAGACTGCCTAAAATAATCATACAGCCTGGAAGAAATAACACTGTCACTGCAGACTCAACACTTTTTAGCTGATTGCACAGTCAGCCAGGAATCCAGATTAGGAAATATTACATTACACAACAATACACTGACAAATGTGTAGGAACATACATATATTTTTAATAATAACAAAGCCCTTCGCTGCAGGCTATATATATATATATATGGACGTTTAATGCGGGTCACTACGACTGTACACAAGTGCTTCACGAATACATTATGACACAAATACACAGTGCAAAACCTAAAACAGAACGGTCTTTTTATAGGAGGAAGCTCTTTCTCTATTGCGGGATGAGTAACATGCTGAACTTGTTTCCGAGGTGTCAAGCCCTTTTCCGTGATGACAATGAGAGGGTGGAAAATTCACCTAAAATTATACCCAACAACACGCGCAGCTTCCTACAAAAATGGATGATAAAAAAATAAATATATCTATACAAATGTATAAAACAAGTCACATTAATTCAAGACAACAACAACAACAAACAAAAAATGTGCAGGATTGTGTCAGTTTTAACATAAATATCCCCTTATTCTCTTAGAGTCCACTCAGTTTGAGGGAAAATGTCTATTTTTTTTTTCATTAGTATAGAATTCATAATAAGAGTCCAACGACTAACACTTCATTTTGAGGAAGGTGAAGCCCACAGCTGACTGGCACATGTTTCCTAAAGGTTTCTTCCTCTCTCAGTTAATACTGTGGAGCATCAGGCTGGTGATGGAGACGGAAAGCAGCAGCAGTGGGAGAGTCTGTGTGGATTGTGCGCTCCTGTTAATGGGTGATGTGGTGGAAAAGATGGCATCAGTTTCGTTTCGTGGGAGAGGCAGGTTACAGATGTTCCCCTCACAACAGGCTGTACAAACCTGCACACACAAAACCACACAGTAAACTGAGTGACAAAAAGATTGTGTGCAAGGAAATGTAACTAATGGACACTTCCTAATGTAATGTTGAAGGTTAGGGATAGGGTTGCACAATATATCAATATCTGCAATAGCCATAGCGCAAGATCTGCATTGTTGAGTCCGAATTGTAGTTGACCAGGAGCCATAGAACATAATTTGATTTGTAGAGTCACTGCTAAGTTTAACCATAATAGAGTGAAGGTTTTTCATTTGCATGCGTTTTTAAGGCGTTTGATTGAGTATTTCAAGAGTGTTTGGGCACAAAAATGTATGATGTTTGAAGGTGTAACAAAGACTATTTGTACTTATTTATTTATACAATTTATGCCAAAAAATTGTGCACATTTTTGTCTTGTTTCTAGCCTAAATATCTATATTTCAAAATGAAAATAAGATTCTTTTAATAACCCCACTGGCAGATAATTTAACATGTTTTAAGGAAAAACTCCTGGGGCCTCATGTATCAACGCTGCGTACGCACAAAAACTTTGCGTACGCCAGGTTTCACGCTCAGAATCGCTCACGTTTGGATTTACTAACAATGAACTGAACGTGGGAATGTGCGCACCTTCACGGCAGCTTTCTGGCAGGCGTACGCACATTTTTTGTGCGTGTCTGTTTTATTTCCATTGGCGACTCCTAGAGGCAGTTGTGTTAAATTCTTCTCTACAAAGTGTCTGATCCTTGCAATGGCAGCTGTATGAGACGGGTTCATATAGTAGGTATGTAAGATTTCCATACCATACAGTTGACCAGCTAAACATTAAAGCACAATTTGCAGCGGTCGCCTGTTTTCCCAATGTAATCTGAGCTATCTACTGCACGCACATTGCTATAAAGACACTATCTGAAGATAAATTTGCATGCGTGAATCAGAAACATTTCCATTCAATAAATGTGCAAATAAAATATGATGCACAAACTTATTAATGATTCCTACTTGTCTTTCTCGTGATAAATAGTGGGCAAAATCTGATATGTAGCGGGAAAAAAAGAAGAAAGAATTCATCAGACGCTGGATTCGAACCGAGTTTGTGCTCGAACGTGTCAGTATATGATCATATGCTTCTTATGAGGTGCGCCACTGAGACTGCTAAGGGTACTGCAACAGTTTACAGATATAAACCACACTATTTCTTTTGTAAATGCACTCAGTGCGATGTTCAGACCCAACTGTGTTAACCGTATCAGCTAAACTCTCCCACTCTATTTTTTTCTTTTGTTGTTAATTCCGGAGAACAAACTTGCAAATAACACCGCTTTTCTCCGTTCTACCTCCGAAAGCAGCACCTCCAATTCACATTCTGTTCAAAGTTTCTCTTTTTGTTTGATTTTGCCGTTGCTTTTTCGTTGGGTTTTTCCATTAGCATAGTCATTAGCATATTCATACGGGGGAGGAGGCAGGGAGGGGTTTTGCGCTCGTGCATGTTGCGCTCAGTTTCACGTTCATTCGGATGTACAAAAGAATATGCGTGAGATTCGGCGTACGCAGTGTTTCATACATCTGAAATTTTTTCTGCGTACGCACATTTACAGCTTTGTGCGTACGCAATGTTTTAGTAAGATTTCCACGCAAGTCTTCGTACATGAGGCCCCTGAAATTTTTTCTGCGTACGCACATTTACAGCTTTGTGCGTACGCAATGTTTTAGTAAGATTTCCACGCAAGTCTTCGTACATGAGGCCCCTGATTGTCTAATTTCTTCTGAAGGTGAAAACAATACAATATTTTTTACTTGATTTACACAAAATTTGGACTAGAAAGGAGACAAAGTATGAAATACACATATATTTTTTGTATTTCGATTACTTAATTTCTGTACCTGAATACTGTAGACTCCCCAGAAAACTGATAAATAGAGCTCTTCAAAATATCTTGTGAAACTGCATTATCAAAAATAAAATATCGCAATATCAGATTTTTCCAATATCGTGCAGCCCAAGTTAGGGACACTATATTGATCATAAGGAACTAGTGCTGAGTAAAGCCATTGTGATGTAGCCTAAAAAATATATATAATAAAAAAAAAAATCACACTGGACAGACAGACTACATCTCACAGGCAGCTAGTGTGTCTTTGGTGCTGATTTAACATAGAGAATCAGCTGAAAATAAGCTAACGAAGTCCGACTAGAGCAGACAGTCCAGAACACATTGAAAAAACTAAAATAACACTGCTCAATGGTTAAATTTTTAAGTATATGAAAAAATAGTCAGAGAGCGAAATACTAATAAAAACTCATGATGTGGGGAAAAAATAAATAATATGCTGTGGCCATAAATAATTTATTTAAAACCAGGACTTTTTAATTTGTTTCCACACTTTAACACAAAAAAAGCACACATTGAGAAAAAAAAAAAAAAAAAAACAAGGAAATATTCCATGGGTTAAAAATACTGAGAGAATCACTTTTAATTAAATTAAGATCTTATCAATACACATTGCTAATCAAAAGTTTAGTTTTAATATACACTCACTGGCCACTTTATTAGGTACAACTCTCCAACTGCTTGGTAACACAAATTTCTAATTAGCCAATCACATGGCAGCCACTCAATGCATTTAGGCATGTAGACATGGTCAAGACAATCTGCTGCAGTTCAAACTGAGCATCAGAATGGGCAAGAAAGGTGATTTAAGTGACTTTGAACATGGCATGGTTGTTGTTGCCAGATGGGATGGTCTAATAGTAGGGTCAGAATTTGGCGTCAACAACATGAAAGCATGGATCGATCCTGCCTTGTGTTAATGTTAATATTTTCTTAGCACACTGTGGGCCCATTAGTACCAGTTGAGCATCGTGTGAAAGCCACAGCCTGAGAATTGTTGCTGACCATGTCCATCCCTTTATGACCACAGTGTACCCATCTTCTGATGGCTACTTCCAGCAGGATAACGCAATGTCAAAAAGCAGGAATAATCTCAGACTGGTTTTTTGAACATGACAATGAGTTCACTGTACTCAAATGGTCTTCACAGTCAGCAGATCTCAATCCAATAGAACACCTTTGAGATGTGGTGTGATGGGAGATTCACATCATGGATGTGCAGCCGACAAATCTGCAGCAACCACATGATGCTATCATGTCAATATGGACCAAAATCTCTGGGGAATATTTCCAGTACCTTGCTAAATCTGTGCCACCAAGGATTAATGCAGTTCTGAAGGCAAAAGTGGGTCCAACCCGGTACTAGTAAGGTGTACCTAACAAAGTGGCCGGTGAGTGTTTTTAAAGCAGAAAATGTACAAAATGTCTTGATAGAACATATACTTTACTTAATATTCTGATGAATAAAAAAATCTATAATTTAGACTCATGCAATGATATTTAGCTATTATAAAAATGTACCTGTGCAATTTAAGACTGATTTTGTAGTTTAGAGTCATAGTTAATAAACTGTAGGAACAAATTCCTAACTCAGATTCTTATTTTGTGGCCAAGATATTTCTTTCTTCCAAACGTATTGTGTGGTTCCAAATGAAGCATTTTCTCTTTTTGTACATCAAAACTCATCTAAACATTTTAACATCATTTAAAAACCACACTCCTCATGTACAGTTGAAGTCAGAAATATTAGCCCCTGTTTATTGTTTCCCCGATTTCTGTTTAACAGAGAGAAGATTTTTTCCAACACATTTCTGCACATAATAGTTTTAATAACTCGTTTCTAATAACTGATTTATTTTATCTTTGCCATGATGACAGTAAATAATATTTGACTAGATATTTATCAAGACACTTCTATACAGTTTTAAGTGACATTTAAAGGCTTAACTAGGGTAATAAGGTTAACTAAGCAGGTTGGGGTGATTAGGCAAGTTATTGTTTAATGATGGTTTGTTCTGTAGACTATCGAAAAAAAAAACAGCTTAAAGAGGCTAATAATTTTGATCTTAAAATGGTTTTTAAAAAACTGCTTTTAGTCTAGATAAAATAACACAAATAAAGCTTTCTCCAGACAAAAAAAATATTATTAGACATTCTGTGAAAATTTCCTTGCTCTGTTAAACCTCATTTTGGAAATATTTAAAAAAAGAAAAAAAAATCTAAGGGGGGCTAATAATTCTGACTCTAAGTGTAAGTCAAAAAAGTGAAATAGCAAAGAAATGTGATTATCTAGTGAATGTAAAGAAAACAATAAAAACAACAAACCCATTTACACCTACGTTTTAAACACTCTAGCTGTCCCCCCTAGCAGAACAGTGCTAAATATAAAGCAAAGAATGCATTAAATATATGCAAAGATAATCAAATCATACTTCAATATTGAAATATATGCAAGGCAGAAGACCAATCACAACAAAGTAGGCAAATATTATGATAATTAAACTGCTTTTGGGCGTTCTTCACACCTGGTATTTTATACGATGCATTTTTAAACTAGTTCCACCTGTATTTAGAGTCATCCACTTGTGACTGCAATGACAAAACAAACAACCGTCTTAATTAAACAAGATTGGCTGTATTTTAAAAAGTCTAATAGCCTTTTTAGCATTAGACCAAAATGTCAGTAATAAAACACATCAGCTTTTGCTAGTTACCAAAATGAAGATTACAAACTTATGTGTTTAACCTCAGAACGAACCTTCAGCTTCTAAATTTCTCCTTTTAGTGTAGCTTTGTCATCTTTACAGCAGGTTTATCTGAGGATCTGGCCTCCTCACATCTGCCCTGCCCTCTGCATAACTCCCTGTCCTGTGCTGGAGGTCAAAGGTAAAACACAGAGAGTCGAGGCGGTGACCAGGCGCACCTTTCAGCAAGGATTTACTCAGAGAAGGATTACTGAGAGAGCACAGCATAACTCACAACTTTATCTCATCTTCAGTCAAATGATTTTGAGAGGATGCGTGGATTAACTAAAGAGCAGAGTTTAGTGTCGCTGACTGAGCCAGATCCTTTAAGCAGCAGGACAGATCACAAATGTTTACAGAGCACTCAAAATGTTTTCTTTAAGATCACTTAAAGCAGGCTTTGATAAATGCGAGAGGATTTCTGTAGGCAGAGTGAAACATAAGTTGCTTTATGTTTGTAACGGGGTATTATTGAATTGTGCTCACCCTGTTTCCTTCATGGTCAATGTCAGAGCAGCCTGTTTGGAGACAGTCCTCCAGCGGCACACAACGCTTCGTCACTGACACCGTGTTTCCATCCCAGCTCATCTTATGATGCGTATAGCAATATCTGCTTTCTAGAAGATAAATATAAATATATAAAAACACATAGTGATAAAGTGATAGATTGATAAAGACTATTATAATACTTTCAGAATAGACCTATAATTCATGATCTTAAAGCAAAAAAATATCCCTGTAAGACTTTTGTTTTATTAATATTGATTGGTTAAAGGAATAATCACCCAAACATTTAAAACCTGGTGATCATTTACTCACCTTTCACTTGTTTCAAACCAGTTTGAGCTTCTGGTCACACTTTATTTCTATTTTATGGTCTTTTTTGTTGAATTAAGTTGCATTGCATCCACATACCAACTCTAGATTATAGATTGGGGTTGTGGTTAGTGTAAGCTTGTACTTATAGTCAGTTAAATGTCTGTTGAAGGAGCCTTACCAACAGATATTAAGCAGACAGTCTACTAATACTCAAATGGACCATCAAAATAAAGTGTTACTGAGTTCTTTTATCTGTTGAACCCAAAGGAAGATGTTCTGAAGAATGTTCCTCATTGATTTTTTTGGTTCTACTATAGATTTCAATGGCTGCTTTTTCCCAACAATCTTCAGAATATCTTGTTTTGTGTTCAACCAAAAAAAAAGAAATCCATATAAGGATTCTAGGTGTGAGTAAATATATTAAGGACATTTTCATTTTAGGCTGAAATATCCCTAAATAAGTAATACCACAAAAGCAAGAGTGCTGTTTTTCTGAATATCAGTAAATGTAATATTGACTTTATACAACAGTACAATGAACTAGAAATTAATAATGAGTTACAATGCCAACGAAACATTTTTAATTACAAATTTGGATTTTATAGTGGGATTATGTGGTTTACTTTGAAGCTGCCTAAATACAGTTTTTGAATCATCAAAAATATTTTGTTCCTGAATAAATCTTTTATTGAACAGTCAAAATTCCACTGATCAAACCATTAGGAAAGACACTTGCTTAGTTTCCACATGATTTAGCCATTTTGAACAAACTATTTGAATGAATGATTCAGTGAATCACTCTTTACGGCAGGGGCAATGCTTAAAGCTCAAACTGCAAAATAATATTTAAAAAGAACAGTCCACCCAAAAATTAAACTTCTGTCGTTTACTCATCCTCCACTCATTCCAAACCTGTTTGAGTTCCTTTCTTCTGTAAAGTAATATAAACTTAAGCAGTGTTTCTCAACCATGTTCCTGGAGGACCACCAACACTGCATGTTTTGGATGTCTTCTTTGTCCATAACACCCATTGCAGGTCTTTCACCCAGCAGACACAAAACATCATAAGATGTTAATATTAGCTAAGATTTAGGTTGTTACGTCAGGTGACCAAAATTCAATGTCTAGCCAGCGTCTAAGGATGTTATTTTGATAACGTCAAGAGACGCTGATATTTGGTTGATTTTAGCTCATGTTGGAAAGTGACCAAAATCCAACGTCCAGCTAACATCCTTAACCAAAGTCATATTGACATCAAATACTGACATTTATTTGTCAGGTATGGCAATCAAAATCCAACGCCTGAAAAACGTCATAGTGGTTACATCCACACAACTTCAAGTTGTAACATCATTAGACATTGATATTTGGTTAATTTTAGGTTGGATGTTGGACATTGACGTCGGCTTGATGTTGGGTTCTGACGTCCACCTGATTTTAATTTCCAAACAAAATGTAACGACCCCCAACGTTGGGGTACAACATCAATCTGACGTCTTGTTGACATACTGTGCCTGAATCAGATGTGTTTGTTTAAGAAGACAATCCTCCAGGATAGTGGTTGAGAAACACTGAACTAAAGAATGTTGGGGGGATAAAACAACTATTGATTTTTATGGAAGTTTTTGTTCCTACTGAGAATGTCAATGGCTGATTTTCCCCAACATTTTGCTGAATATCCACTGAAGTGTGCGTAAACGAGAAAAGTTGAATTCTTTTTAGTTTAAATCTATAGCAGATTTGAGTTTTTAATCAGTCATTGCAGAACATTAAACATTTCTGAATAGTGCTACAATATCAAAATGTTGCACAATGCGTCAGATCTGTGTGAAAACACAGAATGTAACCATATTTGAGCATTCCAGGAGATGTGCACATTCCCTGCAAAAGTGCAGATGATGTGCAGCAGCATGTGTTTTACTGCAGGAATGAGTGTCTGTAAGGTTACAGTCATTAACACACAGCTGTAAATCAGAACCAACACAGCATCAGCCTCCTTATATGGGAGCCTAGTCATGCCAAAAACATGCACCAAATACATGTGTGAAGCAACTCATGTAGAGCGAGATCTGGAAAATGCTGATCCTGCATCTTATTCATGAAATGCACTTAATGCATATTGTGCCTTACTCATAATTTTGTTTGTCACTAAATGTCAAAAAACACTACTTGTTTAAAAAGGAACACACCGTGATAGAGAGAAAAAATTAAATAAATAATAATAAAAATTAATAAAAGAATTCTGTAATATTCATTAATTAATTAATTAATTAATTCATTCATTCATTTTCTTTTCGGCTTAATCCCTTTATTAATCTGGGGTCACCACAGCAGAATGAACTGCAAACCTCTCCGGCATATGTTTTACGCAGCGGATGCCCTTCCAGCTGCAACCCAGTACTGGGAAACACATTCATTCAAACACACATATTACTATGTCTTTGGACTTGTAGGGGAAACCGGAGCACCCGGAGGAAACCCACGTGAACACGGGGAGAACTTGCAAACTCCACAAAGAAATGTCAACTGACCCAGCCAAGGCTCGAACCAGCGACTTTCTTGCTGTGAGGTGGTTTTGCTACCCACTGCACCACCGTGACGCCAAACTCTGTAATAACTCTGTAATAATAATAATAAAGAGTGAATGTTGATGTTAGTACCTCGTGGACAGTAGAGATCTGGAGCCCAGCGGTTGCATTCATAGTTGTCAGGTGCGTCTTCACAGGTAAAACATTTAAATCCTCCTGGATATGGAGTTGCTGAAAAAAAAAACAAAGAATAATTAATGTAAACACAATGAGATCATTATTTAATGACCGCAAAACTGGTAATTACTATGTGGTACAACAGGGTGTGAGTACTGGGTTGTTACGACTAGAGTTGAGCATTGCATGTGTCTTTTTTCTTTGTCCCGCCTTCTTTTTTTTCTTATCCTATAGGCTCCCGTGTTAATGTGGTCAAGGTTCTGATTGGTTCTGATTCGTGGAGAGCTATGAAAAGGAAACTTCCGGAGTTCGAGGAGCTAATTTTTGGTGTGATGGTTGCTGGGATTGGAGCGCTCCAGGATTTCCCTACCCCTCCATCCGACTCCAGGATTTCCCTACCCCTCCATCCGACGATCAAACTTAATTTTTGACCAAATGTCCACATATGCTTGCAACATTTAGAGAGTTTGAGCTTGTATGGGGTGGCCTGCCTATTTATTTTAATTACTTTTCACTAGGGCTTGGCAATTTGGCCTAAAATAAAAATCTCGATTAATTGAAAGTTTTAACTCGATTACGATTAATGAACAATTATTTTATTTGTTTATTTTATGTTTTTGTCTTCATAGTTCACTAAGAGGTTTTGTACAGTAAATATGCTCACATATTGCAAGTGAGAGACTTCTGAATGAAGGGTGCATTACTTGACTTTAAAATAATTGAAGGACTCGCACACTATCTATCAAACTATAATTATTTATTGAGCATCAATGTTGAACAACTGAAATTAAAACACACATTGTCTAAAACCAACAGTCACTTTTTTTCTTATAAAAAAGTGAAAATAAATAACTTGCACTTTTGGAAACAAAATAAATTATTTTCAATGTTTTTCATATTATAAGTATAAAATAAGCAGCATCTAAAATAAAAAAATAACTAAAAAAATTTAAATAAAATAGTAAAATAACTCTTGTTTATCCTGTAAATAATATTTTAAACTGCATTTCTTGCATCTTTTGTAAACAAATATTTTAATGTAAATAGTAATTTTATTGTAATAGAAAATATGCCACCTCAAGGCACCTCTGGTGCAGTTTCCAATCATCGTCAATGTAGTGCAAACGTGGAATGTGTAGTTACATTTTTAAGAGGTGCACGGGTATGCGACGGCGCGAAGCCTGCGTCGGACCATACCTAAGCTTTGACACAGAAGTATAAATCAGACTTAACAGAGCGGAGTCACGTGAACTCCACACACAGTAGGGAAAGTAATTGAAAATGTTTGAAAATTGAAATTGAAATATTTAATCGATTATAGGCTCTGAATGTCGATTTAGATTACTCTTCGATTAATCGCCCAGCCCTACTTTTGACTTTGCTTATCTTAAGGCAGGAAGGTAAGCTTCCTGTATTTTTCTTTAAAGATTTACAGGTTATTTATTTTATTTACTTAGCAGATTCTTTTGTTTGTTATTTTGGCCACCCAGAAGAGATGCTCGTTTGAATTTCTACTTTTAGCTACAATAAATCTATTTAATTACTCTCAACTAAGAGTCCGCGTATGCTTGTCGACTGGAGGGGGATCTTTTACATATGTTTTATTTGTTTGTTTGTTTCCTTTGGGAAATCCACCACCCACAATCTTCCTTTATTATGCCCATGTTGTTTTTCCTATAGACTTGGTAATATGTGTAAATATATCATTGAGAGTGTAAAATGAGCAACAAATCTCTTTGCTCGCGTGGTGATTTCCTCTGTTCATGTGCAAAACTCCATGGGCTCTCAAATATACGCTGCTCAAGTGCGAATTGTCTGCTTTCGCTCAGTGAAATGATGCTGACTCACAATTTGTGCCCTTTGTTCTCCAGAGATACTCCTGGTTAGCAAATATTTTATTGTTTTTAAAGTGTCTTATGCTCTACATTTAAAATACATTGACATTTATCAGCCTACATTTCAGTCATATTTTTAAAATAAGCATTACAGTTTAAGTGTAATAATATTACAAACAATATATTATAATAGTATAAAATTATTTGGCTCAATTGTATTTTGTTTTGTGCTGACCCCAAAGGATTTAATGAAAGTGTACAGTTTATCAGTGCCATCATACTTTACCTTTATATTTTTATTTGTCATATTTTTCTTCAATTATTGTCATATGCATTGATCACAGTTATTCTGAGCCTGTTATAAACATAGTTTAGAAGATTTTTTATTTTTTTTGTATGCTTGTGTCATGCAACCGTTTATTTTGCTTTGACAAGCTCTGATGATTTAATCCCCAAAAACACACTCATTTGAAAAACGCAAGTAAAAAATATTGGTTCAAGAGAATCAAGAGAATACTGATACAGCATTATTGCAAAAACAAATGCAACAATTAAAAATATGAAGCAAGTTACCTAATGTTTTTTTTTTATTATTTATACAGTGTTTACAAATGAGATGAAATGGCAGAGATTCTTACATTTTTAAATAAATGACACTCAGAGAATGGGTTTACAAATGATCTAATTAATACAAACACCTGCCAAAAACACTGAGACCATCAAATCTAGTGTTCTTCAACCAGTATAGTTAATTCTTACACATTAAAGTCCTTGGAAAACAGTTTGCTTTTTCTGCAGATCCTCGATAAGATTAAAGAAAGCACATGAAACAGAATTCTGTGTTTACATTATTAAGAGAAAAACCTTTTGTTGACCTCATGCAGCAAATTTTTCAAGAATCCGATCAAGTGACCATTTTAAACAAGCCATTCATTCATCCATCCATCCAGACAGTCTCGATGTGTTATTACTCCTGAGCTCTCGAAATAGCTCTGTATATACAATAGAGCTTTAAAGTTCATTTGTAGTCTACAGTCTCTACTGCTAAATCTCCCAAATTCCTGTGACTCTTATGAAAACAAAATAATTAATACAGACACAACTTACATGCTTAAAGAGGTGAGAGAAACATTTTTCTGTAGTGGCATATTTTTTGACCTTTGGATGTCAATACTATCATAACATTATTTTATAGTCATGCCTTGTCTGTTTAATTCTTTAAAGTCAAAGAAGGAGAAAACTAAATATTTAACAAACCCAATGTTAACATGCAGCTTTTTAAAACTAGCCACTTTTTGATTGTCACCGTGTTTTGTTGTACATGCAAACACACTCGTTGTAAAGTAGCACTAACCACACTTAAGTAGGTGGAGTGTGTTTTGTTTTCTAAATGATCTCCTGGGGTTTTAAATCCACACTTGCCATCTGGAGAGCAGGAACCAAAATGAACTCCATAATGATAATAAATCCTCTGCATCAATACGCAACAGCTGGATATCAGCAGGTCAGGGAAATGGTGCCGGTACACAAACTACTTTAAGATCTCACAAGAGCAGGTTTGTTTTAACCTCACACACACACATACTCAATCCCCACTGGGCCACTGAGCAGATACGGATGTCTCCAGCTGTACAGAGGAGAGCGACACACAGCTAAAGGGATTTTGGGAGGTCCTACTCACTGCGATGAAAGAGTTTGGGATTTTACAGATTAATTCTCACAACAGATCTGCAACCAGCCTCTAGTCTTTTTAATTATGACCAAAATTTACTTGAACATTAGCTCATGTTGTTACAATAATGCCCCAAGACCGTTGTTCATCTTCTAAACACAAATTAAAATATTCTAGATGAAATCTGAGAGATTCTCCATCCTCCATATAGACAGCAGCAGCCATGAGACTGTCAAAGTCCTGAAAGGAACCAAAACATTCTCAAAACGCTCCCCAAAAACTGTTAAAATGATGTTTATGTCATTAATTACAAGCGATTCAATACTTGAATGTTTCCTTGCTTATCTGAAGTGGGAGAGAAGACAAAGGTGAACAAAAACATATTTACAAGTTGTTGTTTTTTTCCACACAAAAGAATTCTTGGAGCTTTGTACAATTACAGTTGAACACAGAAGTCCTGTTTCGACAATGATTTTGGTCCAGAGTTTTTGGACTCTGAACATTTCACAAAAAAAGCTTTCAGATTTCATCTAAAATATCTTAATTTGTGTTGTGAAGATGAATAAATGTCTCAGAGGATTAGCACAACATGACTGAGAAATTAATAACAAATTACATTTCTGGTGGAGAACAAATTCTTTAAACTTGAATATATATACATATAAAAGAGTGATAGCCTGCATGATCTTGGCTCTTCAAGTGACAGTAGTCACTGACTTGGAATTTTTGAATCAGCACCACAAACACCACAGTGTGTTCTACTAAAGTAAAAATAAATATTAAATCATGATTAAATTAAATTATTTAATAGTCTATTCCCTCTTAGCTTGCCATAAGTGAGGGTGTGAAAATAGACAGTCTCATTTCTTTCACTTAAAACTTCCTAAAATATTTTGTATAAAATTTACAATACTCAGCATTATGGAGTACAGCCCACTGTGAAAATGAATATTTTTATCCATTTCTCAGTGATATAGGCAATGTATTTTGGTGCCTTTAAACAAAATAGATTTATTAAACAGATATAATTATTAAAATAATATTTTTGTCACCGAACATATTTAGACATTGAAAGATAATACAATTAAACTCAAGCCCAAAAAATTACAACCTACAAAGTTTCAACTAAATTTCTCAACTTTTTGTGACTTTATTTTTCCTCTTCTTTTAATTTAATATTTTTCTATAACATATAAATTTGCCTGTACTAGTTTTTGGACCGTTATTGTAAGTTATTTTGCTAGATAAGCTCCATATTTGGCTTCAGTACTGACTAATGCAATGTATATGCACATATATAATATTGTATAGCTTCCTATTAAAAATATGATTTTAAAAGAGGGGGTTTACTTGCATATGCTGAGCTCTGAATGTTTTTGTGTAAAAGTTGTATTCACATTCCACTGCCATACACTCTGAACAATTGATTTCACATCAGTGGCCTCAATGTGCAGTCCACGAGTGTTGAATAAAGGTCTTCATACTACCTCATACAATCACTGCTACACAACCCCTGAACAACACCATATCCATATCCAATCTAGAACACCACATTATTACAGAAATAAATCTGCACCGAATACCCTGAAGATCCAGCAGCTTTACAAAGCCTTTAAGAAGAGTGATTTCTTTTTTTTTTTTAAATTTGACATAAATTAATTTATATAACTACTAACTCATTCATTCATTCATTCATTTTCTATTTGGCTTAGTCTCTTTATAAATCTGTAATTTGATGACAGCAAAATGAATTGCCAACTTATCTAGCATATGTTTTATGCAGCGGATGCCCTTCAAGCTGCAACACATAACTGGAAAACACCAATACACTCTCATTCACATACATACACTATGGACAGTTAGCTCAACCAATTCACCTATAGTGCATGTCTTTGGACTTGCGGGGGAAACCAGAGCACCTGGAGGAAACCCACACCAACACGGGGAGAACATGCAAACTCCACACAGGAATGCCAACTGACCAAGCTGAGGTTCGAACCAGCAACCTTCTTGCTGTGAGGAAATAGTGCTACTCCCTGCACCACCAAACTACTTTAACTTCAACATGTAAATCCGGAGAAAATTTTCAAGTGGTCTTTTCATTTTAACCATAGCTGTATTATACATTCTTGGAATGTTGTTTTACACAATTAAACATAACAAAATAGGTTGGGATCAACAAAAGTAATCGATTAACAAACTGAGAGTTCACTTACTGGTCTGTTTTTAAAGTCTTATAAGTAGGCCCACATGAAAATCTTGGTGTGCAAAAATCTAGGATTTGCGCAGATTTTTAGCCCATCAATGAGTCTATGTATTTACTTGTGTAAATGTTTTTAAATGTATATTTATTCAGTTTTTAAATTAATTTCAGTAAAATTATTGACTAATATGACAATATTCATATGATTTATTTACAATACAGTTTGTAAAGTAATTTTTGTCTTTTAATAGATATATTATAAAAGAGAGACTTGCTTTGTTTACTCAGTGTTTCGAATTGAATTTGCATTGTAAACATTAAACAAATGTAAAACCAAGCAGCAACCTCCCGCTCTCCCTCATGAATCAAATAAGGAAGTAACTGAAACTGCAATTTAACGAAATTCTACTAGTCCTGGCTGCATAATTGAGCACATTTCTATTAAGCCCACTGTTAAAATGGCCAACTTTACAGCAGAAAAAAGGTGTTTTCAGGTCACTAAAAGATGTCACGCTTCTTTTGCATTCTTCAGAAACCTATGGGTGACATCACAGATATTATGTCCACAACTTTTACAGTCTATGGGTGAAATGGTATTATTTTTTATTTCATATATTATGTTTTTAGTTACGATACTTGCAAAATCGCTCTGTATAAATCTGCAGATATTTTACAAAATTCTATGCAGAAATAGCAAAAAATGTCTGCAGATTCTGTCTGGCCTTAAGTTCATTAATTCATTCATTCATTTTCTTTTTGGCTCAGTCCTTTTATTAATCTGGGGTCGCCACAACGAAATTAACCACCAACTTATCCAGCATATGTTTTACACAGTGGATGCCCTTCCAGCTGCAACCCATCACTGGGAAATACTTATAAGTTATCTTTTAAAAATAATATTTATTTCCAAAACCCAACTTGTACTCTATAATAAATAAAGCGACATTACTGACTAATCAGCATCAAGCATCAGAATGGTCCTTCTGAAGGATCTTCAGTAGCCATAACTGAAAACTTATACAACACTTTTGTTCCTCCCTTAACAAAACCAAACAAACATGAATTACATTCATATCATCTTCAAGACTTTGGCAGAAAGAAAGACTTACTTGAAGGATGGAGGAAAATGATGTCTTTTTCGGTGAAGTCGCGTGATTGAACGGCTTTGATCCAGCCGGTAATGGCGGTCAGCATCAGACCCCAGGCCATGAGAGGCCAGGGCTCCATAATGGAGGAAAACTCACATGAGCAGATCCGGATCCAGCACGACTCCTGTCACACAAAACAAGCACTTATTAAGACAATACGCTCACGCTAAACAACAGAACTCTTAAATCCCAAATAAACTAAGCCTAACCAGGGATCTGCTGAAGACAGAAAGGAAACACCACAGGATTACAGCCGCTCAAAAGCAGTGTTATCCCTCTCCAAAACACCGGACACAAAGACACATGCTTGTTATTCCAGCAAGTGCTTCATTATATCAATGACAATGTCAGAGTCTGCCAATGTCCTGACCCTCGACAACACTGACCCTCTTAGTCGCTTGCTTTGCTTTTTGGCAGCGGAACAAACACTCATCTGTTGTTTTCAATTATTGCATGCCTTGCTCACAATAAAGCATCTATGATAAACACTACTAAATAGGTAGTCATAAATATATCCATTCCATTAAATAGTATCATAGACTATAACTTTTGCGTGCGTCATGTGGCATATTTTTAAAAGATTGCATTATAATGGCCATTAGGGAAAAAAAGTACTTAGGCCAGTTTTATTTATAAGCAAACAATATTAAGATAACATAATAGTTTACCATGCGCAATTTATTTTGAATTAAATAGAGTAACAATGGTTGTAAAATGAGACGGATGCGTGCTGCTTTTTGATACGATTCATGTTCAACAAAAAAATCCCTCTGGAAGACTGAAATAAGCCTGGAGAAAAGCACATGGCTTAAACACAGAGCTCTGAGGTTTACATTACTGAAACGAAAGCTGGGCCAGATTACACATTTTTCTGAAGTGCTTGACTAAACCGCTTTGTGTGCTTTCTTCAGCGAGTCAAATGGCGAGCCAGACAGAAATCAATCCATTCATTTTGGTGAATCAATTTCTCTAACTTTGTTTACGACTTCAAATGTAATTCCCCGTTACAAAAAGCTGACTCATAAACTCCAGAAGAGAGAGAGATATTCAGTTTAAGAAAGTACTCTAGACACTACATTGAACCTGCGGTAAAACATTCAACTACAAAGTGCCTGTTTAAAGATTTGCTTCATTTGCAGCATATCAGATTAAAACGCCAACCTTAAGACTTATGAGAATTACTAAAGGCAATAAGCAGTTCAAAAGTTGAGGCAAGTTTTGATTAACAGTTGCAGAAATTCAATGTTTCTGCCAGATTTTTTAAATTATTTTTTTTTACATCAGTTTATCCATTGACCAATCAGAACAAGGATATTCCTAAATCACGTTTCTTCAGATATCTACAGGTAAGAAGCCTGATGAAAAGGTATATTTAGCACACTTTCAGCTCCCGCAAGCAGATGGATTGAGGAGATGTTTGACTTAACTGTATATGAGGGTGGTCTGATATCAAAAGTGTACAGTCTGATTCAAAGAGCAGCCGCACCATCTTTAGATTTTTTTAAACCGTGGGAAGATGACTTAGGAAATATAATCCCAGAGACAATCTGGCAATCAACAAATAAGCAAATTCACTCAACATCTATCTGTGTCAAACACTGTCTATTACAATTTAAGATAATTCGTAGGCCTCATTTTTCTAAAAGGAAATTGTCAAGAATATGCGCAGAAATTGATCTAGGTGCCACATAGATGAGGCCACCTTGGGCCAAATCCCCTTAACCAAACACATTTAGCATACAATTTATTCATTCATTTTCCTTTGGCTTAATCCCTTATTTATCAGGGGTCACCACAGCGGAATGAACTGCTAACTATTTCAGCATGTTTTGCTCAACAGATGCCCTTCCAGCCATAACCCATAACTGGGAAACACCCATACACTTTCACATTCACACACTCATACACTACGGCCAATTTTGTTTACCCAATTCACTTAAAGCGCATGTCCTTGGACTGTGGGGGAAACTGGAGCACCAGGAGGAAACTCACGCAAACACGGGAAGAACTCCACACACAGTGGGAAGATGATTTAGGAAATATAATTCCAGAAAGTCTGGCAATCAACAAATAAGCAAATTCACTCAACATCTATCTGCGTCAAACACTGTCTATTACAATTTAAGATAACTCATAGGCCTCATTTTTCTAAAAGGAAATCGTCAAGAATATTCCCAGAATTTGATCCAACATGTTCTACAGTAGGTGCCACCAGGGCCGGAGTGGGACACCTTTTCAGCTCTGGAGTTTCAAGCCTCAGACCGGCCCACCTCAGTTCACGACAGACTATATTAAAATAAGCAAATAAATAAATATTTCCATATCAGTTTCTAATGACACTATCACGTCTTTTTTTTTTTTTTTTTTTGAGAAAACAGCTGCTTTAGAACTTCAAATGTTCAACAATCCTAACAGTATTATATGTCTTATCAATAAAAATGAAAACACTAAACAGAACAATTATTGTTATTATTATTATTACTAATATAATAATAACATTTAACTTTATCATGAGATAAAACTGAATGTTTTTACTATAGTAATACAATACATCATGCCAAATTACAACATTCAACCCTAAAATAATTACATTAACATAACATGTCAGTGAAATATTATTACTTCTGTGTAATAACAGTCACCCTAAAATGCATAGCAACATAATTGTATCTATTATTATTATGATTATTATTAACACTTAATGTTATCATGAAATAGTTAACATTAAGTATTAAGTAACATTAAGTTAACATTAAGTATGTTCGCAAGTAAATAAATACTTATTATATTATTCAATTATTTCACCTTATTTTGGTAATTACAAATTTTTCTTACAATAAAGTGTAACCATAATTGTTCAATAACAGTTTATTCCAGTGTTTTCTCAATTTAACACACATTTTTCTCTTAAACAATTCAAATTAGTCACAACTTAGTGCAATCAATGTTCAGTATTTTAACAAAATTGATTAGCGTTCAAATGGCAAAAATAATGGCAGTAAACTGCTGAAATGTTTGGAGAACGTTGAGCTCTTGACCTCTCAGACAGTGGACTGCACAGCGCAGCCATGATCCATAGCATCAGGTTTCCTCAAAGTGATCCTTTTCTCCACTCGAGGTCTGAGGCGGCATTGAAAAGCAGCACAGAAGCAGATATCAGCTTTCGTTTTTAGCTGCACATCAGGCCCACAAGCTGCTCACTGACTGGGAATGTCAACAAACAATTTAAGTATGTTTTGACACACCTTTGATTAATGTGGTGACCTCAATAATAAGTTAAGTGTGAAAGTAATGAATTGGATTTACCCCTGGGCTCTCAGCATTATATAAGTAAGAGTGAATCAGCAGAAATGTGTTTCATGTTGATGTTAAACACCTACAGGAAGAACAGGGCAGCATGATGAATCCTTTAAATCAAACAACAAGGTGTCATGATAAATAAAAAGTCATTCAGATAATGACAAAAATTTGTGCAATCATAGTTTCAACAAAAGAATGTGGATTAAAGGGAGAGTTATAAAGAATTTAAGAAAATATTTCTGCACTTGTGTTCCAGAGGATAAAAGTTGAACTTATTTTTCCCCAATGACCATAATTAAACTGAGATGTGCTGTGTGTGTTTGCTGGTGTCTTTATTGGTCTATGCTTATTATGGATGGATCATTAAATGTGGCTTTAACTGCCAGAAAAATGTGATATTCTTTGTGAGAAATTCACTGAATCATTCATTTGAACGATTCATTCAAAATGGCTGTTTCATTTAGAAATTAAGCAAATGACAGTCATTACGAATCAAATACTGAATCATTAGTTCAACTCATTATTGAAAAACAGATTCATTTAGGAAAGAGATGCAGCAATGCTCTGCTCTATTGTCTGTCACTATTTTGCAGCTATAAAAACAATCAACTACAACAACTAAAAATGAATATATAGTTTTTAAAATGTATTATTAAATTCAGGGTTAGGGGTTAGAAACAACATTCACTTGAACTAAAATCAATATCACATGTGTGATTATTTATGCCCAATCTCTTTAATTCAGGAAAACAGCACTCTTACTTGTGTATTTTACCCTAACCCTAATTTATTTTAAATAATATGTTATAAATATCTCCTAACCCTAAAATAAATAATATCTTATTAAAAGAACTCCTAATGTCTGCTTGCTACATCGTACTTACGTCTAGACAATTTTAAAGGGCATAAACAATAACAATGGTCCTAACATATTTTTAATTTCCATAGCTTCCAAGAATCCAAAAAGGTCCACATACTGACAAATAATGTTATGACAGTTGTTTTAATGTTAAGTCATGATTAAATTGCTTCTTGTTATAGTTATGGAATAGTTTGACAACAAGCAGGGAATGTCCATGGGCCAATAACATCGCCATACTGAAATGGCCTATAAAAACAAAACTCCTAGCCCTAACCGAGTCCTATGTTCTAAAAATAACGAAAAAAAACCCATCACCATAACTGCATCATATTTTATATAAAAGAAAAACTCCCAACCCTTACCTAACAGTAACTTAACTTGTTATTGTAACTTATCTTGTTACAGTATTTAAATTTACAGCTACATTGTAACAAAAATATAGAAAAAAAATAACAACCCAAAATTGTATTTTATGATGAACTGTTACACTGAAATGCCAAATAAACAAAAGCATATGCAAGGCTGTTTATTACATAAGTATCTTGCTGATGAACATCATTATTAACTGAGACCTGCAAGTGAAATGAGTTGCAAACTAATCTGAAGCACTGATAACATCAGCCCTGCATGAGAGCAGGACATGAAGACGGAATGAGTTAAGAGAAAGCCTTGACTAACAAAAAGACATCCTATTGATAAGAAAACATGGATTCAGTTTCAACACACATGCAGGTGTCCTCAGACCAGAGACTCTTCTTCAGCTTTATCTCTTATCGAGGAGTCTAATGTCTCAAATCATCAACCCAGCAGCTGCACAGGAGACACGTCTGACTGAATGAGGGATAAGAGATACTAAGAGATCTTATTCTTAAATACACAGCCATTTAACCGTTTTTTTTTTTTCAATTTAATTCAATTCATCTTTATTTCTATTGTGCTTTTACAATTTAGTTTGTGTCAAAGCAGCTTCACATAGATTATAGTGACAGTGTCAGTTCAGTTTTTAGAGTTGAAGTTCAGTTTGGTTCAGTTCAGTGTGGTTTAATTTTCACTGCTGAGAGTCCAAA